TTTTTATCATGACTACCAGATGATATCAAAAGTCATGCGAGGGGTGAAGAGATAGCTTGGTGGTCTAGGTGCCTGCCTGGTGAGTGCAAGGACTCAGGTTTGATCCCTGGTACTACAAACTGTGCCAGCCACGGAAACCAGGCGTGATGGTGCATGCCTGTAATCCCAGCACTAGGGAGGCTGAGACAGGAGGATCGCTGTGAGTCCGAGCTATGTAGTGAGATGTTGCACCAAATAAATAAATAATTTTTTAAAACTTTATTTTTATTTTTTAAATTAATTTAAATGAGAAAAATAGTAATGAGACAGTTTCAAAACAGGTTACTAGGACAGTTGCAATCATACATTGCTAAAAAATTTTTATAAAGTTATATGAATCAGGTAGCAATCATCTTGTCCGAAGGAATGAGTCCACTATAATCTGTTCTTTTGTGGCTCTGGAAATTCTATACTTAGCTTAGAAATCCTTTTTCTCCTGTCAGGACTCTAGAGGTTACTGAATCCCATTCCTCACACTTGATCTTAGCCAAAAGGCCGAGAAGCAATCCCATTTCTCAATAGTACTTTCCGGGTCTCAGACAAAGCTTTGTGTGTCTTATACTTACTGGGACTCAGAAGCCATAGTTGGCCACTTCCTCTATTTTGAGTTATCGCATAGGTCAGAAAATTCTCTAGAGCAATGGTTTTCAACTTGGATGCGTATTAGAATCAATTAGGGAACGATTTTATTTTATTTTTTTTTTTGTTTTTGTTTTGGCAGAACTGGGGATTGAACTCAGGCCCTTGCTCTTGCCAGGGAAGCACTTACTCTACTGAGCCACCTCCCTGACCCTGTAGGGAACATTTTAAAACACCAATATCCAGGCTCTTTCTTAGAGCAGTTCAGTCTGTGGGAGTGGGTAAAACCCTGCAGATATAGCCACAAGTTGTGGTATATGCTTATAATCCTTGTACACTAGGAGGCCAAGGCAGGAGGATTGCAAGTTGAAACCCACCTGGGCAACTTAGTGAGACTGTGTCTTAAGATAAAAAGCAGGGGCCGGGCAGATGACTCTGTGGAATAAGCGCTTCCCTGGCAAGCCCAAGGCCCTGAGTTCAATCCCCGGTTCCGCAAAAAAAAAAAAAAAAAAAAAAAAAAAAAAGCAAAAGCTGGAAATGGAGCTCAGTGAAGGGTGAGGGTTCAATCCCCAATATCTCCTCCTGAAAAAAAAAAAAGGTTAAGAAAACCCAGGATTGAGTTCAGAAGCTATACAAATTCCCAGGGACTTTTGAAATTCTTTAGACACTCATACCTGCCCCATAGTTTATTCATCATTTAAATTATTTAAATTGTTTTACTTGTGCTGGGCATGGTAACTCAAGGCCAGCCTGGACTATATAGTGAGACTTTGCCTCAAAAATAGAGAGGTAGGTGGAGAGACAGATTTACATAAAGGAGTTGAGCCATATCGTTTGAAATACAACTATTGAACAATGACCCTCATCTTTAAAGGTATCTGCCTAAATGCATATCTAAGACACTTTTTGTGAAAAGAGGTCACCTTAGAAGACTTGGGCTCTTGTTCCTATATTGTTTCCAGGGTTTGATCTCATTTAAAAGTTATTAGAACTGAATTAGGAGATACATATGAAGTTAAAAATCCCAAGCTGGGTGTAGTAGTGCCCACCTGTAAGCTCAGCATTCTGGGAGGCTCAACCAGGAGAACTTCCAAGTTTGAGACTACAACCTTAGTGACTTTTGAGGTCCTGTCTCAGAATGAAAAAGGGGGGTTGTAACTCAGTGCCAAGACCTTGAGTTTAGTCCTTCATATAACCATCATTATCCCAACCAGACTACATTTGCATAAAATTCTGTTACCCAAGGGATTAATTAGACCTGCCTCCGGTTGCATTTCAGTTCCCAGGGGATTATACCTTGCTGTCACTTAAAATTCCCTCTTTAAAAAAAGTTGTTATAGGGACTGGGGAGATATCTCAGCAGCATAAGCATCTGCCTGGCTAGTGCAAGGTCCTAAGCACCCCACCCCCAAAATAGTGATCCAAAAGTCTATAGGAAAAAAAAGTTGTTATGAAAGTTCCCAAAAGAGGGCATTATTTATTTGAATGTACAAATTCTATTTTGTAAAGTTGTTTTTTGTTTTTTGGTTTTTTTTAACTAATTTCAATACTATGATTCCTATAAAGAGCATTCTACCCAGAGATCTGAATAGACCCATACCCCTTCTTCTTTCCCTTTGACGTTTATCAGTGTGCAACCCACTCCTATGTCCTCACTGTTCTCTGTGTACCCCATTGCCTGATGATCACCACACCAGCTGAGAAGGATCATTCTTATGGATCTATTAGATTTGAGTTCTGTTACTTTGCTCAGAATATGAATTTTTTTTGGTACTGGGGATCGAACTCAGGATTTTGCACTTGCCAGACAAGGGCTTATGCCACTGAGCTATCTCCCCAACCCAGAATCTGATCTTACACCGGACTCTGTTGGGCATTCTGCCAGTCACGTTAGTGTCAAGCTGTTTTTCTCCCCCACAGACTGCAGTAAGTGAGCTAATGGCATATTTGAAAAATGCCATCTTTGTCAGACCCAAATAAAACCAGTATTTTGACTTGAGCTTTAGTTTTCTGGTCAAGTGTCATAAGCTGAAAATTTCATTGTTTTGGTGGGGTTGTTGTTGTTGTTTCCTTTTTTAAATGGGATCTCATTTATGTAGACCTGGCTGGCTTTGAACTGTCAGTCTCCTACTTCAGCCTCAGTGTGCTAAGATTGTAGTGTGACCATCAGGTCTGGCTTAAGCAACATCAGTAGCCCCCAACTCCTTTTTAAATAATTAATTTATTAATTAATTTAAAAAATGCAGAATGCAGTGGCCAGGGTTCAATCCTTGTCATGTCGTGCTGGCCCTACCCCCAGGGTATGCTGAGCGTGAGACCCTGTTGACCTTATACTAAGTACATTTTTAAGAAAGACAAGTTCTTGCTATGTAATTCAGGCTGGCCTTGAACTCACTATGTCACTGTGTACCCAGCCTGGATTTGAACTTGTATCAGTCCTGCCTCAGCCTCCCAAGTGCTGGAATCACAGGTGTATGCCACCATGACCATCTGGCTGGAAGTTTTAATCCTAAATTTGTTTTTGTAGTACTGGGGATTGAACCTAGGGCCATCACACTGAGCTACATCCCCAGCCTTTTTTTTTTTTTTTTTTTTTTCCTTTTTTTGAGATAGGATCTTGCTAAGTTCCTGAGCTTTAGAGAAATAATAAAACATTTCATAGTAGGTTTATTCATAATAGGACCCAGTTGGGGCAGCTTTGTTTTGGTTTGGGTATAGGATATGATTTATTCACTGTAGCCTTTCTTTTTTAGTCTCTGCCATCCTGGACCCTGCCCAGCCTGCCCTGCCTTTATGACTAAAGCATGTGAATGTGGACGCACCAGGTAAAGTTAAAATTGTACTCTAAAGAAGACTTCAGTTTCCACATGCTTGATTTACTTGTGCATTTCCCAAACAAAAGATAGCTAGTAGATAGAAACAAGTAATAAGTAATACAGTGATCCTGTGACATCCATGGGGGATTGTTTCCAGGAGCCCAGACACTCAGTATCTTAATACCAATTAGCATGGTATTTGTTCATAACCTGCACATATCTTCCTCTTTACTTAAAATCTTCTCTACATGATTCATATTACCTAATACAATGTAAATATCATGAAAATTGATGTTAAATTATATTATTTTAGGAATAATGACAAGGAAGAGGTCTTTACATGTTCAGTATGGATTTTTTTTTTTTTTTTTTTTTTTTTTAAGACAAGGTCTCACTATGCAGTTCAGGCTGGCCTTGAGCTCACTTTGTAGCCCAGGTTAGTCTCCTAGTAACTCTTAGTGATCCTCGTGCCTCAGCCCCCCATGTGCTGGGCTTACAGGCATGCGCCACCACACCCGGCATGCTATATTTTTTTAATTGTTTATGTTCTCTTGGTTAAATCTGAGGGTGCAGAACTGATATTGAGGCCAACTGTGGGACTGTTCTCTAATAGCAGTGTGTTTATGTCACTAATCCTATTTTACCTGATAGTTGATTAAGAAATTGTATGCACAGTGAGATTGTAAAATTACCCATTCAGTGAAATACCAAGGTGACAAGAATTTTCTTAACCTCTCTAATGGGTAATAAAACCGGAAGGTGAGCCCAGGCTTATTAAGGTCCAGGAAGTAGGCACCATTTTTTCTGTGCCCAGCATAGTATCTGCTGGCACCTAGAAGATTTTTCAGTAAATATGATTGCAAGTAAGAATATGTAGGGGCCGGGGAGATGGCTCAGTGGATTAAGTGCTTCCCTGGCAAGCGCAAGGGCCTGAGTTCAATCCCTGGTTCTGAAAAAAAAAAGAAAAAGAATAAGTAACCCCAGTAATCCTGCTCTATATATAATTCAAGTTCTACATCTTTGGTGCAAGCACCACGGATGGGTGTGGAGTACCTTGAAGGCCCAGGAAGATCTTAAAATGATAACTGGACCCTGAGACAAAATGAGATCAGGCACATCCTCAGGAATGTGCTTTTGCAGCAGTATGAGACACATGCAAGCATTCTGGGTCAGATGAGTTCTAGGGCCTACTGCATAACTTGTTGATCCTGGGCAAGTTATACAGTCTTGTGGAGCTTCATTCTTATAAAATTGAAATAAGAGGTTGATGTTAGCCGTGTGCTAGGTATATGGTTGTATAATAGACTGATGGTAGCCATTATGCTAATCAGTCATCTGTGTATTAGAGCATTGACTTTTTATTTTTACAGTATTTCAGTTAGTTATCTTTGAGACAAGGTTTCACTATTTTTTAGATGAGTCTTGTTATTTTTCCTATACTGGCTTCAAAGTCACGATGTTCTAGCCTCAGCCTTCTGAGTAGCTAGGGTTACAGGAATGTCCCACTATATCCAGCTAAAAATAACTTTTAAAATAATGTAGTTGAGGGCTGGTGAGATGGCTCAGTGGTCTAAAGCACCTACTTAGAACAAGCTCAGCGAAGCGCAGGGACCGCGGTTCAATCCCCCAGCACCACATGCCAGCCAGCCCCGCCCCCTGGTGGGCTGAGCTGGCCACACACACACACACAAATAAATAAAATTAAAAAAAAAAAAAAAATGCACATGTTTAAAATAATGTAGTTGAGATAGAATTAAGGGATGGATTAAAGTAGGCTCCAAGTATTAAACCCTATAAAGAGACCAAAGACATTATGTAAAAGCCCATAAATCTGCAAAATTAGCATAATTATTAGAACAAACTACAGTGATTTCCCCATTCTGAATCAAAGTCAGATCTAGTAATATAGCACTGCAAAGGGCCAACATGCTAGGTCAAGAAAAACTCATTGTGTTTTAAGTCTATGTCAGAGCTGGATATCTTTCCTCCCTAGCCTGTAAGGTGGAAGTTCTAGACAAAACTAGGACTACAGTCTGTGTCTTCTAGCCCTTCATCCAGGGCTCTCCTCTCTCCCACATCCTGCTTCATAGAATTTAGATAAAATCACATAGAACAAATTCTCAGAAATAGCCTTCAGTGTTTCATTGATCAGAAATAGGGAAGAAAGAGATAGGTCAGGATATAAAAACTACAAAAAAGGAGAAAAAAGAAAGTGAAGAAAGAGAGATAATTAAGGAAATAATTGGAGGAAGGAGATATAGGGAGAAAGGGGGGCAAGGGCCACACATGGTGGAACACTCCTATAATCCCAGCACTCAGGAAGCTGAGACAGGTGGATTTGTATGAGTTACGGCCAACCTGGCCTATACAAATGAGTTCAAGGCCAGCCTAAACTACATAGCAGGACCCTGTCTCAAAAAAGATTGGAGAAGCAACAGTGTCAAGAGAGGGTTAGCAGGTTTAAAGAGGAGGGTTTGGCCTTCACTGTTTGGTTAGCTGTGCAATAGAAACTTTTGGACTGATGTCATCTTTACATCTACTGTCTTTATAGGCACACGGTTCGCTGTGGTCAGGCTGTCTCAGTCCACTGTTCTAACCCCTGTGAGAATATTTTGAACTGTGGTCAGCACCATTGTGCTGAGCTATGCCATGGTGGCCAATGTCAGCCTTGTCGGATCATACTGAATCAGGGTAAGTGGTGTGCACATCAGCTGCAGTGCTAGTGGGCTTTTCTGGAACTTCATGGTATGTAAATTATATTGCAGTTTTAAAAATCCACAGTGACACCTGTAAGCAGGTGCAGGGGCCAAGAGCTTGATCCCTGGGCCTTTCATGGTGTCATATGCCTATAACCCCAGCTCTTGGTAGGCTATAAACAAGCAGATCACTACGAGTCCAGTGTAGTAGTGAGACCCTGAACACCCTGTAGACCCTTCCCTAAAATACAAAAAAATAAATTAAAAAAAAAAAAATCCACAGTGAGGAAGGAAGATCAAAGGAAAGGGAGAAAAATCCAAACCTGAAGTGAAGTACCTGTTAAATTTAATAGAATAGCTAAAATAAAAAATAACGGCCAAATGTTGGTAAGGTAAGAACAGTTGGAATTCTCATATATAACTGGCAAGTGTGTAAAGTGGTACATCCACTTTAGACAAGTTTAGTGTTTTGTTTTTTTTTTTGTAAAAATAAACCTGTGTATCTTATGACCTATGTACCATATAAAAAACTTAGAGCCCCAAAACAGAAAACTGAAATAGTCAGTAGGAGTGATAGATAAATAAAGATAAATAATGTGTCTTTTCTCTCTCTGTCTCTCTCTGTCTCTCTCTGTCTCTCTCTCTGTCTCTCTCTGTCTCTGTCTCTGTCTCTCTCTGTCTCTGCCTTCCTCATTTGTCTTTCTCTCTTTCAATACTGGAAATTAAACCTAGGGCCTCTGCAATGGGTTTCATCCCCAGCCCTTTTTTAAAAAGTTTTTCTGTATATGTCAGATATCTTCAAAATATTTTGGCCGCACCTATAGTTTCTCTTCTCAAATGGTAATTCTTCTAGCATGCCTTTTAGCCTAATGCAGAGATTTAATAAGAGTTAATTTTAGGTGTTCATTGATATTTGGCTGAAGTGCTAAACAGACTAAGGCTGGCAACAGAGTCCTTCCTCCAGGCTGTTTCTGGTTCCCTAATAATAGCCAGCTGTGACTAACCCTTCTGGCACCAACTTATGCTTAAGTACAGCAAAGCTTTTTGGTATTACACTTAGATTATTTCCTGATTGGCCAAAGGCTCTATTTTATTTCATAATTTTTTTACCCTTAACTCTTAACAACTTTCTGCTCATACCTCTGAAAAAAGGCTATGTCCTGTGTGAGCAGAAACTTAGCAAAGAAAAGCTTACTTACAGAAGGTCCTCGTTGCTAGGACTTGTTTATCAAGTGATTGATTTCACAAATAGTAATTTTTTTCCTACATCTGTATTAATATATCTGATAAGTGTATATTGAATGAATGAGGTTTTCTTTTGTTGTTTTATAATACTGGTGACTGGATGCTAGGCAAGGACTCTACCACTGAGCTATACCCCCAGCCCTTTCAAAGTATTTGAAACTTTTTACTCATTGTAAATACTCAAATCCAGGGATATACTCAGCAACACAAGTATTTGCCTGGCAAGTGCCAAGTCCTGAGTTTGATTCCTGGTACCAAAAATAAAAATGAGCCGTTCTTCTCAACGTGAATACTCAGACATGATTACTTCAGGTTTAACAGTAGTATACAAATAGTTAAGAATTTTATGCTGTCATGATCATTTAAGTATTTTTAGTAGCAAGGATATTTCCTTTCCACTTTGCATGAACTCCATCATAAAAGCATGTAGTTTATGCTGCTTGTGTTGATGTGAATGGAGATCCAGGCATCAACCCATCTGCCACTTCTACCAGTTTAGCTTGTCCATCCTCTGTGAGTCTCCCAGGGAGCCTGACAACCCATGGTGTTGCACCATGCGTTATGGACCAGAGAGTACCCTCTGTACAGTTTAGTGGTTGTTTCTCCTGAATGCTGTTCTCATGGTGTGTTGCAGCAGCACTATGAGGTATTCGCAGTTTAACAAGGCTTTTTGTATTTGTTCCTGTATTAAGCTATAAGGTGGATCTTACAACTGTGCCAATTTCTACATCAGATCTGATCAACTGTTCAAGGAAGAACATTTTGTATTTTCTTTTTTTCTCTTTCTTCTTTGCAGTACTGGGATAGAACCCAGGATCTTCTCACTGATCTGCATTCCCAGACCATTTTTATTTTGAGACAGCATATCACCAAGTCCCTAAGTTGCCAGGCTAGATTTAAACTTGTACTCCTCCTTCAGCCACCCATAGTGCTGAGATTATAGGCATGTGCTGCCCCTACCAGTTGCATTTTGTGTCTCTTTATAGATTGTTAGGAATATTTTAAGAACACATACAAGTTACTAATCTGTTCCTTTTGAATTTTGTCCTCAAGTATGCTACTGTGGCAGCACCCCCCGAGATGTTTTGTGTGGAACAGACACAGGAAAGTCTGATGGATTTGGGGACTTCAGCTGTTTAAAGATATGTGGCAAGTAAGGTTTTACATTTTCTCAGTTAGAATAAAGCTGTGTTTTATGCAACCCTTTTATAATAATTCTGTTTTTCTTTACAGAGACTTGAAGTGTGGGAACCATACATGTTCTCAAGTGTGCCACCCTCAACCCTGCCAGCCTTGCCCACGGCTCCCCTATTTGGTACGCTTTTGCCCTTGTGGCCAAACTCCTCTCAGCCAATTGGTAGAACTGGGAAGTAACAGTCGGAAGACATGTATGGACCCTGTCCCTTCATGTGGAAAAGTGTGTGGCAAGCCCCTGCCTTGTGGCTCCTCAGGTAACTAGTTGGGATGAAGTTGCCTTTGAAGTGTTCCTATAAAAATTTTTGGCAGCAATAATGCTTTGACAAAATGAAGAAGTTCTAATATCAGAGGTTCTTCTATCATGATCAAGATTGTTTAGGTACTTGGAAAAAGTCTTCCTCCAAATGTACTTAGGAAAATACTCATTTGCCCAAGTGACTTCTTGATTTCAGGTATTTTATTGCCAACTGTGGACAACTATAGTGAAATACTCCTTGGGGATTATGATTTCTTTTAGCACGCTACAAGAAACACCATATTTTCTTTTACTAATGCAGGGTTCAGCAAGTATTCAAATACCTTTTCCTGCACAATTTGTCATAGCTAAATCTTGGAAACAACCCAGATGCCCATCAACTGAGGAATGAATAAAAAAGATATGGTATTTTTGTACAGTAGAGTATTACTTAGCTATAAAGACAAACTTGAAGCTTTTATAGGTAAGTGGATGCAACTAGAGGCTATACTCATAAGTGAAATAAATCAAGCCCATATGTGTAAACATTGTATTGTGTGCCTGGTGTAAAAACCTGAAGAAGTAAATAAAATCTAAAAGGTACAATAGATACTGTGAAAGGAAAAGAAACTGAGCAAAAAGAATGGACAGTTGAGATGAGGGAAAGGAGAAAAGAAAGGGAAAAAGTTATGTAAGTATATATACACAAGATAGCTAAGATGATTTACTGCTTTCTATCAGGTTCTTTGTTTGTTTATTTGTTTGTTTGTTGTTTTTTGTGGAACTGGGGATTGAACTTGGACCCTTGTGCTGGCCAGGGAAGTGCTTATTCTACTGAGCCATCTCCCCGGCCCTCTATCAGTTTTTTGAAGGTAGCAAATTTTAATGCTTAAAATTTTTACTTTGACCAATTTTAAATGTTTGTATCTGGTAATCTAAGCAACTACATTGAAGACAATGTGCAATATAACAGCCACTTTTGAATACCTAGCATCTTGGTTTTTTTTTTTTTTAATTGTATATCATTTCTAAATGTGTATTATTTTTCTCTTCTCTTTAAAATAAAAATAAAAAGGGCCAGGGAGATGGCTTAGTAGAATAAGTGCTTCCCTGGCAAGCATAAGGGCCTGAGTTCTAGCCCCAGTTCTGCCATAAATAAATAAATAAATAAATAAATAAATTTTCCTATAGTAGAACATGTTAAACTAACTGGATGAGATGTTTTTTAAGGACTACAATGATATTTCAGCCATTGAGACCAAAGGATGTCATTTATTTAGCCATTTCCCATATAACTGAGGTAACACCTTTTGAGCATCAGTTTGAATGAATACTATTCTAGAATTTATATTCTCTTCTCTAAATAGAGGTTTCTGAATTTCTTTCCTACTGGCTCAGACATCATTTTTATGAACTTGTTACTGTATTAACAAAAAGTGAAGCCCTTAATACAGTGAAGCCCTGGAGCCTGCTGCTGTTTCTCAAGCTGGTTATCCCATGCCAGTGGGCAGTTTGCATCATTTGATATGCTTGTGAAAGCTTTTTTTTTTTTTTTTTTTTTTGCGGAACCGGGGATTGAACTCAGGCCCTTGTGCTTGCCAGGGAAGTGCTTATTCCACTGAGCCATCTCCCCGGCCCCTGTGTGAAAGCTTTTTGTTATTTTCTCATCAGTACTTTAGTATGCCTACCTGCTTACCTTTAGTAATGCTTTTCTTATTGGTGGTTTATGGTTACTTGGATATAAAACCAGGAAAAAGTTTGTTGGAATTGGATAATAGTTTGAGTATATTAATGGGACCTTATAACTTAGTTTTTGGGAATATACATGGGCAGTTTTGCAATGACTTGGCAGCTTCTCTTTTTAGTGCATGTTCAGAGACAACTTAGGCTGAATGAGAAAGGTACTCCTGTAACTAATAATCCATCTTTTTTTTTTTTAATCATCCATCTTTAAGTTTGCTTTCTATTCCATAGAAAGGAGAGATTTCAGATTTTTTCTGCACTACCAGGAATGACTAGAGAATTCTACTTTTTTTTCTCAGTCTAATTTCAAAGGATGACAGAAATGCTTTCTCCCTCTCTTTAACCAGGTTTTGTTTCATTTTGCTTGCAACTTAAAAAAAAAAAAAACTTACTATTTATTTATTTGGTACAGGGTCTCGCTATGCAGCTGGTAGTGATCCTCCTATCTCAGCCTCCTCAGCACTGGGATTACAGGCATCTACTACCATGCCCAGTTTCAGTTGCTAGCACAGCATGCAGTATCAGGGATCAACCTGGATCCTTGCCCTTTTCAGGCAGGCATATAGATCACCAAGCTATCTCCACAGCCCCTTGTTTTGGTTTTGACAGAGTATTGCTATATATTTCAGGTTGGTCTTGAACTCACTATGTAGCTCAGGCTACATAGTGTATCACCAAACTTGTGGTGATACTCTTGCCTTACCTCCCAAGCGCTAGGGTTGTAGCATGCACTACCATGCCCAGCTTTTCTTTTTATATTTAACAAAAGTTCCAACTGCATTAGGAAAACCAGGCTTCTCTTGGTTCTTGCTTGCCATGAAAACTGTATGAAATGGAAAGCAAATAACTTCTAAGAAATTGTGAAGGATGGTAGAAATGTGTCAGTTGTGTGAGAATTTCATACAAATGACCAGACTTCCTACCCCAAGGCTTAGATGTTCTATTGAAAATGAAAGAAAAAAGAAATATAAAGTGGATGCAAAGAGACTTGCTCAAGAGAAGAGGAGTGACTGACAGTAACAGCTTGGGATGTGACCATATCAAAGGATTATGAAGTAACCACTTTACCTCAACAGTGTTTTTTTCAGTTGTGATTTTCTTTCTTTTCTTTCTTCTTTTGAGTTCTGAGGTTAGAATTCAGGGCTTCTCAGAGGTTAGGCAAGTTCTCTACCAGTAAGCTACAGTCTCAGCCCCTAGTCAAACTGATTACTTATTTTCCTTGAGTTTTAAATTTTTTTTCCTTAATTAAAAATATACTTTTTATGGTACTGGAAATTGAATGCAGGAACTTGCACTTGCAAGGCAGGTGCTGTGCTATTGAGCTATATCCTTGGCCATTTTTAAATTATTTTTAGACAGGGTCTGGCTATGAAGTTCATACCTAGTCTTTTTTTTTTTTTTTTTTTTTTTTTTTTTTTTTTCTTTCTTTTCTTTTTTGGCAGAACCAGGGATTAAACTTAGGCTCTTGCACTTGCCAGGCAAGCACTTACTCTGCTGAGCCATCTCCCTGGCCCTGTTTTTATGAAAATGTAATTTTTTTTTCTTTCTTTTCTTTTTTGGCAGAACCGGGGATTAAACTCAGGCCCTTGCACTTGCCAGGCAAGCACTTATTCTGCTGAGCCATCTCCCTGGCCCTGTTTTTATGAAAATGTAATACACTATCATTATGAAAAACTTTAACCTATAGGGAAATACACAGAAAAAAAATGAGTTACTTTCATGCATCTCTTCCTTTGCCACTATAGGTAATTACTGATAAGTAGAGAACTTCCTAGGCAATCTTCTATGTATCACTCTGCCCGTATGTTACACTAAAAGTATCTAACTTAAATTTTCTTCAGTTAATAATATAACTTGTAGGGCTAGCTAAATAGCTCAGCGGATTAAAGCACCTGCAAGCAGGTGCAGGGGATAGGTGTTCAATCCCTGGGCCTGTTGTGCCGGCTCCACCCCCAGGGCGCACTAAGATGGCAGTTGAGACTAGGGGTGGTGGTGTGTACCTGTAATCCCAGCTCTTGGGAGGCTGTAAACAGATCACTGCAAGTCTTCCAGTAGTGAGACCCTGAACACCCTATAGATCCTTCCCTAAAAAAAAAAAAAAAAATCTTGTTATATGCTTTAGTATTTTCATAATTTCTTAGAAATTTAAATTCTTTTGGAAATGTCCAACTTTGTGAATAAATTTTAAAATATTTTTATACATTTTACTCAGGAAATAGGATCTGGGTTCTTCTGTTTGGAACTAGCTATCTTTCTTGTGTAAAAAAAGCTGGCAGAGCAGGACAATGTCCTTAACTCTACTAGAAGTTCTAGTAATTGTCTCAAAAGTGTATAGCTCAGGGGCAGAGCACTTGCCTCACATGCACAAGGCTCTGAGTTCATTCCCTAGCACCACAAAAGAAAAAAACAAAAACAATAGTCAGTTTTGGTTGGGGCTGAGATTATACCTCAGTGTTAGACAACTTGGCCTATCGGATTTTTTTTTTTTTTTTTTGGCGGTACCGGGAATTGAACTCAGGACCATGTGCTTGCCAACCAAGCACTTATTCTACTGAGCTGTCTCCCTGGGCCCTAGATTTTTAATCTGTAAAGTGATTTTTTAAAAAAATTTATTTATTTATTTGTGTGTGTGTGTGTGTGTGCGCGCGCGCACGCGCGCGCGGCCATCTCAACCCACCAGGGGGCGGGGCTTGCTGGCATGTGGTGCTGGGGAATTGAACCGCGGTCCCTGTGCTTTGCTAAACTTGTTCCAAGTAGGTGCCTTAGACCACCGAGCCATCTCTCCAGCCCCTAAAGTGATTTTTTTTGTGTGTTTGTTTTGATATGGAGGTTGAATCTAGGGCCTTTGTACTGAACTTTATCTCCAGCTCTCTTCTTTATCTTTTAGTTTGAGACAAAGTCTCTCTTAAGTTGCTAACCTGCCCACGCTAGGCTCAAATTTCTGATCTCCTGTCTTCCAGAATAATAAAATTACAGATGTGGGTGGGCCAAAGTGCCTGGCTTTATATAAAAGTCTTAAGACTGAGTTGGACTGAAGAGCTTGAAGAAAAGATAAGTCTGTGGCTAGAAGTAACAGTGATTCATTTAAGTGTGTCCAGACCTAGCCTATCTGTAGAAAGCTTGTTTAGGTCTTCTAGTATATCATCCAACAGAAAATTTTTATGCCAGAGATAGACCCTCAGTGTAAGATGTGATAGGTGCAGTTCTATATTCAGGATGGAAGCAGAAGGGAGCTCTGTGGGGATCCATTCCCTAACAAAATAAAGCTGCAGAAAA